ATTCACAGTTCTGAAATTAATGGTTATCATGTTACTACAAAGTATGTTGGATCGGGTGAGCCAGATCTTCCTGATTTTCCAGATATTGAATGGTTTTCAAAACACGTGTGTGAAAGTCCATACTTGCTGCTAATTGTAAAATGTACCAAAATGACTGGGGGGAGGACATAAGAGATTTGCTCACTTTTGCTGGCAAGGCGGAGTGAGGGGTTAATAATTATAAAAAATCTGCTTTCGTAATATTCGAACGGCCCCCTGTTAATTAGTGGAATAATCATAATTGTAACTGGAAATACAGTTTTACAAAAATGCAATTACAATGTCTAATACAAAAAGGTTTAAATTGGATTTTTGCTCATGCTCATGACAGAACTAGCCACTACGACCGCTTTTTCATTCCCTAGGGTGTCGAGATTTTCTAACAGACTGCCTGCGGAGAATTTTACCAATTCTGCTAACATTAGGAAGTTCAAAAATTATTCTAAACTTCAAAGGCGACACTAAGTTGCTTATAGCAGTCACGACGCCACGGTATTTAGGTCTCTGTCTATGCGGCTGGTTCAGTATAATGATCGTTGCCTCGCCTCTGTTCTTAACTGACCAATAAAAATCTATCATGCTTTAAAAGCGAATCTGATCTAAATTGAGTCATTTTCCACTACATTTATTCGCTGATTTCGTTTAATGATTTTTCCTGAATATGAAATGGATCATTGTTGAGAGAGGATGTCGAGACAACAATAATAGCAACGTCGAAAAGAGAAATCTAATGATAATAATAACTGTTAGTAACTTTCATTGTTGCAATGAATAATCCATAGATCAAATGACCTGATTCATGTTATGGCAGATAATGGTTTTAAAATTAATTTTTTTGTTTGTTCTGTATTGTAATGAGATTCTAATCCATATATTTTCTGGCTATTATGCGCTTAGGTATTTCATACAGTTTTTTTTAGTTCGATATAAAATGTTTGTTTGTAGCAGATGGTTCAAAACACTTTTAAAACCGTTTTACAGTCCGCAAGACCGTTGCATACAAGCTACTGCAGTGCCAAGACGGCATTGTTTTGTCTGCAAAACAATTGCATTCAATGACTTGCAGTTGCGAGACGGTCCTGTTTGCGCGATTCAAACGAGCAAGGTTAGCCAACCTAAACGAACAAACTGTCACATTCCTAACCTAAAATTTTGGTTTCAGTTGTTTACCTTTTAGAACACATGGTTTTATTGTCCAAAAGCTAGTTTCAATCGGCGACCATCGAACATCAAAACACAATCGAACGTATATCTGTGAACAATTAAATACACAAGCCATTGGACCGGCATTAAGTCATTTGCATGTATTGGCAACTTGTAAGCTGCTAACTATTCCACCAGAATTGCAGACAAACTTGCATAAAAAATCTAACCGATAGATTTTCATGCAGGACTCCAGCGGTTGCATGAAAATAAAAAAATCAGCTGTTTTTTTAGTGCTCATGCGTCTGATCAACATTTATCTTCCTCTTGCTGACTGTAAAACGAGTGTTAGGTTAATAGTGATAATAAAAAAGCATCACCATTTGATTTCAATATGTCAGTATGACTACTGATCTCTATATTACGAGATATTTGAGAGCGGTTGAGAAATGTGTTATGTCCCCTCATGTACTATTATTCTTGACTACCTCAATAATCCAGTTCCAAATTTTGACTACGAATCCCTGATAGTTATTTCGAATCAATACTGTACTATAATGAACGTTGTAAAACAGTCTATGTGAGTAGCAACAGAGTTTCACAACCTGTTATTAGCAAATAGTAAACTTATATGTTGTGTGTATGCAATCCTTGCCGTTTTCGTAACGTTTAATCACCAGTATAGAATTGCAGAAACTATACATATTTTAGTGAAAATAAGGCTACAAACCTTGTTCTACCTCTATCATCGTCACGATGGTCCGATGATTTGATCTGTTTGATCTTGAACTGTCGCATAGCAGTTCGTGCTTTATGATGAACGAAAATTCGAACCACTGTTTTTTTTTTATACCAAAGCAGCCTGAAGTAGAACTGGAAACATCCTCGTGACTAAGGAGCGGTCGTGTCAGCCAGTACTCAATGTATGAAGTTCAACATGGTTAGGATGGGGGGCCGAAGTCGAGCGGGTCTGTCTTCGTAGGGCAACCTGTTCTAAGTATCGAATACTGGGTTAGACAGGAAAATTCGACAATGTGTAGTTCCGAACTTTTCTTTCATCAGGATAAAGTTGTGGCCTCTCAGATGGTTGGCGTTCAGACGTAAAAGTGTGAGAATATGTCAGTGCCACAGAAACCATAAAAAAATCTGTATGTGATTATCAAGTGCCCTCGTGAGCATCTATCGGAGAAGTGGGTCAAGCTGAATAGGTTCAGCCTCTCCTCATTATTAGGTTGTTGGATTTTGTTATTCATTTAAGATATATGAAAAGTAGCTAAATGTAGGTTTTAAAATCATGGGACGTTTACTTTGTAATGCCAAGCAATAATCAAGCAATAATCGTTTTACATTTTTATAAATTATAGTGGAACATTATTATTACAAAATCTATTTTGAAAATTGAGTGCCTCCAGTAAAAATTGGCAATCATCAATTAAGATAATATTTTCAAGCAAGCTCAAAGAATATATTTGGAATAGATGTTTTTAACTCCTTAGGGACAAATCTCGCAGACATACACATCTTTATCTGTTCGCTACGTTCTTCGAGCCCATCTTCTTATTTCGAAATATTTCAATAATCCTAGCAATTATATAAGGGTTCCATTTGTTCTTATTCGTCTTTCTGATTATTATTTTCGAACTTAGAAAGGGGCCTCAAATAAACAATAGAGCTCCGCCGAACAAAAATAGAGGGCCTTTCAACTATTTAGGGTTGGTTCTCGCAGTGAGGCAGTAGAATAACTAAGAGAAAAATGGCGTCAAGTAGATTAACTATATACTTCCCATGCCTACAAGACACATGTAAGACAGACCGACGGAAATGAGTGAAATGGTATTTCGTGACGAACATGTCATATAACATCCAAAACATGTAATGTCTTATTTTCGAAATTCTTCGCGATTACATTAGGAAGTAAAAAGGGCGTGGTCCTTTAACATTTTGGGAAAATGTGTCAATAAGCTATGATACAAGAGTCGCTTCCCAAGTCATTCTCGGTGGAAAAAGAGCGGGAGTCTCGCCGTCCAACAGTCTCATTTCTAAAGACGAAGTTAACTTCAAGTTTAATGATATGACGAACTAAGGTACATATTATTTTGCCGAAAAAGGATACTTTCACAATACTCAACAGCTCTGAGAATTTGGGATCGTTGCTCAGGGAATATTATGTTCTACCCCGCTCCGATGTTGGTTGGAATCCTCAAATGAATAAATATCTTGCCCCCTATTAAGAGATCAATCAGATTCAAAACGAGCTCATATATGGTATTTCACTGGGTCTGTAAAGAGGTAATCATAAGTAATGCATGGTTCTAAGATTTACTAGTTTATTTTTGGGACACCTTGTAAAAATCGAAAGTATGATTTTGTGAACTAGATCCTTCAGTGGAGCGAGAAGTGTACGTTATATTTGAATATATTTAACATTTAATTTACATAATGTTTGTAATAAAATGGTACCATCGACTCCAATCTACGGAAAATTGGGCACTATACTGTATTCAGATCGAGTGAAAATTTGCATACATATCTGCAAAATCGACTACTTCAGAGTGAAAGGAAATGAAAGTTATAATTGCATCATTCGATGTCAACATATCCAAAATATTCAGGAAATTGATACTCTTCTTTATGAATTGACAATATTTTGTTATGATAGCGTTTAATAAAATAAAGTAAAACAAATAGAATGTTAATCGACACCTTATATTAATTGATTTGTTCTGAAATTGACGTAGATATAAAAAAAACAAACTCTTGTTGCCCATCTTGCGTGTTTTATCAGATATTACTACAACAAAATAATTGCAGTTCAATCTAACATCCAACTATTGCTAGTAGGTGTCCAATGACAACTGAATGCTGTGTTCATAAAGCATGCTATACCTATAATAAAAAATCCAAATCAAGGTTTATAACAGTTGTTCTACATTAACGATAGATTTATTTACAAGAAATAGCCTTGGTCTATATGTAGCTGTAAGGTATGTCGGATTTAATAAACTACGAGTCATTATGTAAAAAAGAGGTTATTTGTACAGTTTTGTTAATAACTCCGTTATTATCAATCAATTCACAAATTCTCATCATGCGAGATTGCATGTATGCCCGGATGTACCATGAAGTCTTGTGGTTAATGTGACCTGGTATACAGTTAGAACTCCATATGTTGAAACTACTTTTTACTGACGTTTCGGTCACCACGACCTTTTTCATAGTACAGGTCAAGGACAATGACAATATATTCTATATATACTCTATGATCAAAAAGTACCAGGAATTTAAGAATAAAACGAAAACGGTTTAACTTCCAGTCAAATTTATTTTATCGCGTTCAAAATAACATCCATTTGAAGCAACACCCATGTACCAGCATTTCACCCACTCGTCCATGCACCGCTGGTAAGTCGCCAAAGGTATGGCCTTTAGCTCTCTCATCGCATTCTGCTTGATATCATCTATGGACTGAAATCTCTTTCCTTGCAGTGGTAATTTGAGCTTTGGGAAGCGAAAACGGTCGCAAGGAGCCATACAGGTAGATAAGCTTGTTCAATGGTATTTACTTGATGTTTGGTCAAATAATCAAGCACAATTCTGGCCCGATAAGACGGCGCGTTATAGTCGTGCAAAATCCACGAATTATCGGCCCACAATTGCGGCCATTTATGACGTACGGCATCGCTCAAACGCTTCAAAACGGACAGTAGCCATCTCTCTTAAGCTGGTATGACGATTTCCGAGCACCACTTCCTTCACTTTTTTGACGTTCTCGTCGGTGTTTAACGTGGATGGGTGGCGGAACGAGGCAAATCCCCTACCATTTTACGACCAGTTTTAAAGTCTTTATACCATTCGTATGCCCGAGTTTTCGACACTGCAGACTCCCCAAATGCTTTTTGCAACATTTTTTTTGTATCAATGTTAGCAACACAAAATTTCAGATAAACTCTTTGCTCAACAAAACGATCCATATCAAAATGTGAGAAAATTTTAAAAGTTAACTGACGTGAACAGACGCCAGACAGGTACTAATAAGGAACTGGCGCTATAATATTGACACGTATGTCAGTTCAGGTCGTACCATCCTGAAAAAAATAAAAATCACCGGTTTTGTCATGTGCAGTTTGCTGAAATTAAAAATTCCCTGTACTTTTTGATCGTAGGGTATATATATACTCGTATATATACCCCTTCCATATTGCAGACCTCTTGCTTTTTCCGCTACTATACAGTTGCAACAACAGCCTGAACAATCTTGAATCACGCCGAGATCGCGCGAAGGTTAATTTTAAGCTACAGGGGTTACTGGATTCATATAGCTTAGCAGTAGGAGTGAGGCGAAATATTCAGTTTTGCAGTGCAGTGAGCCAACTAAATAAAATTTTAATATTTTATTCTATTCCAGGATGAACCCTCCCACGCCAAACGCCACACCGACCCTCTTACCGCTGAAGAGACCCAACACAAGACGGCCAAAGAAATAGAAACCAACAACATCGACAATGACGACAAACCGGATTCTTCAGAGTCTTCAGACTCCAGCGATTCTGAAGAAGACAAGACTCCCATCCAACTCAAGCTGCCTCTGCAGCTAGACTTGGATGAGCTAACTCAAGCATTCTTGGAGAAAAACCAACGCTCTAAAATGAACTGCATCGTGGAAAAGAAGAAGGCTGAGGAGCTAGTTGATCATCAGCCTAAGACCATCAGGTTGCCATTTGGTGTTAACTTGACCACTGACCCACGGCTGGAGAGACTCAGTGGTGAGAGAATGGTCATCATTTGCGAGAGTGGGACTATGCAAAGGTAAGATTTTTTCAATAAATTCATCTCATAGCCGTGCAATAGGGCAAAACGTACTTTGGAAGATGTTGCATCAAAGTACCAAGTCCGTAGAATTGGTACCTTGACATCTACAAATACGTGGCAATGATGTGGCAGGTCATGAGATATTTGTTTGAAAAAATGTAAATCACCAGTCCTGAAAAATCTTTTTATAATTTTTCCAATCTATATTGCAGAGCTCAGCCCATGCCATCTCAACCACAAGAAGAACAATCCGATTCATCAGATGACCAGGAAGAAGATACAATCATGATCCAGCCTGTGATGATTCCAATCCCAGCTACTTCATACCAAACTCATATGCCCCAGAGGATGGTACCCCCACCAATGGTACAAAGAGCACCCATGAGGGGTCCCGTCGTTCATCCTATGGAAGCCATGAGACCACCCATGCCCCCAGTCATCCAAGCTTCCATCCAGGTTAGTATATGCTCACAAAGTCAAAGGCAAAATATGGTCATTTTGAACCGAATTGAGCATTTACTAATGCGCCGTCGTGGAAACTCCTTGAAATGCCGGCATATCACTTATTAGTATTGGTCTGGATATTAAAATGTAAATGCGCCTTTTCTGGTAAACCTTAAACATCGTGGGGTCTGTAATTTTGTAGAGCAAGGAGTGCATAAAGATAACAAGATGATATAGAAAGATGCTCTCACCCAGGGAAATTGTTTTTTTATGATAGACAGAAAAGACAAACAACTCGAAGATATTAATAAACATATTTTGTTTCAGATGCAAGAGCAGCCTCAAGCACAACAACAACCCGAATTCCCACCAAACCCAATCCTCCATCACATCGTCCAACAGATCATTGCCCAGAAGATCATGGAGAGCCAACGTGCCAGAGAAGAGCAAATGAGACAGCAACAGATGCAACAAATGGAGATGCAGAGAGCACAAGAGATTCAGAGAGCCCAGATGATCCACAGACAGATGCAAGAGCAGCAAATGCGCGAACAGGTAAATAAATACTCCGTTAAAAGACAACTGCGAGAGTTAAAACAGAGCTGTCTGTTGAAACGGTGTCTGATTTCGCATTGCCAGCCGGATCATCTTTGTGGCCACTAGATGCCGCCTATTCCTGAGATATAGCTTTCCTTCTTCCGACCACAGATTGCCAACTATATGCAGTTCTTCCGTGCTATTTGGCAACAAACGAAAGCTGAGCAAATATCCTCTATCCATAGTATAATATCTATCAGTATAAGGTCAATTGAAGCATACAGCTGAGGCCCAGCCTCCATTGATTACCATATTATTTATTTACTCTTCCCATTTCTATTGTTGTACTAACTGATTATTTAACTATTATTGGCATCGAAATGAGACAGCACAATGCGAACTGGGATACAGTTCCAACAGATAGCTTGCTATTTTGACTCTCGCAGTTCTGGTAAAAGATGGCACTTTACGTCTTATTTCGATAGGCCTTCAAATAAAGAAACGGTGAAGACCCAAATAAATCTCCGTTGTTGCCTTTGAAGGTTTTTCCCTGCAAGAATCTATTGAGCTCCCCGTCATCTACTCTATTTGGCTTCTGTAGTTGTTTTTTCTTGTCAATGGGATTGAAAGATAGCAATCATATCCTATTATGGTGCATGACTGTAGTTTTGTCACAGGCTCAACAAGAACAGATGGAACAAGAACAGAGGATTCCTCACAGGTTTGACATGCCACCACAGGCTCAAGTTGTTCAGAGGATACCCATTCCTGAGGAAGTGCTAACCCAGCTTAACAGGTGAGTAGATGACTACGTCTTCAACATATTCAAAATTAATCTTTTAGGCTAATTTTAAGCTCATAAATCCTATCTAACCGTTCTGTAAGAAACCTAAAGCTGACGAAATGCCTCCTGTCCTCCTCTCTTTTCCTCCGTTTATTTCCTCTTGCCTTCTTACTTCCTGACATTGTCTGGTATCTGGGCAACCAGGATCTGAAAGACTAGAATAGAAATAAATATGTTCCTATTAGAAGAGTGTAGCTCACAAAGCTCGCCCGTTACAGTTGGTTTAGCAATATTCTAAATGATCCTGGAAAGTATAACCTTTTTTAAACGTTTCCTTTTGACTGTAACCGCAATTTTTATGATATCAAAAAATAAAAGATGATATTTAAAAATATGCAACTTTTACCATTGGTAGGTGGCAATCGTTAGCTTTTTCATCTTCTCTTGCAAAACTTTTATGTATTTTGTCAGTTTTTTCGTCAGAAATGATCTTCATAAAGCTGTTACTCGCATTGTCTCAGATAAATTGTAAATTGCGCATCTGTAGACAGAGAAATATAATGCTCCACTAATATGAGAAATAACTTTCACTAAACATAAAAGCAATGCAAATGTCATTAGTTGTAGTTGCAGAATTTAATTTAAGTTTTTTCTGTTGTTATCTCTTGAGTTAAACCAACCAGTGGTGAATATGATAATTATTATACAACATTCATTTACTTCAACAGGTGAAAGTTTTGTGGGAAATGTCTCTTGAAGATCTGTAGTGTACAAATATACAATAAAAGTAATGAATAAAAAAGGTTTATTTCCCACACCGCCGTTAAAGTGTAAGGTGGCATTTAACAATATTGGAGCGAATCTTACGTTTCGTTGCTTTCACAGGAAGTGTACACTTCTAATAAAGGTGGATGATATTAATGAAGAATTTCGACCAGGTTCTAAAGCATCTTGATATAAGAGGTAGATACCTAAGGAGATACTGCTAAGCTAAGTCGTACACTGTCGTGTAGAAGAGACTTTAACATATCTCCGCCTTTGGGGAGGAAGTATTGCAATCGCGGAAAATTTTGAAAATGAGGTATTATGTTTTTTGAATGTTGTATGGCGACAATTAAAATTTCACCATTTTTAGCCTTCCAATCAAGATAAAAATTTACTTTAAAATAAACATAGCCCAAAACGCTGTTTTGAGTTTTGTAAGAGGAGATTTGGACTTTGATTTACACAACGTCCAAAATAGTAGTTTTTGACCATTGAAAATTACCATTCAGGCATTCGTTCAAACTTCATTGTGTGACGTTTCAGAAGCTCCTAATTATTTTCAGAAAGGTTGAGAGTTGGGGGTTTTAGTATAAATAATGCATTTTTGGTATCAGTAAAATCCGTTTTATTATTGTTAGATACAATTCTAATATTTCGCACAATATTTACATCTGTGACTCCAGCAACATCAACTACCCAGGAACTCGCGATATCCTTTACCTGCCGAGGGTCCGATAATAAATCGACGATGCAATGATACCAACGCGTACGCACGCTGCTTAAATATTATGCCCCATGTATAGTCAAAGCCCATTAGTACTCTGAATTAACAATTCAATTATGTATATATATTCTAGAATTTCACCAGCTGTAAGGGTTTCAATGCCCAGCGAATAGAACGTACGAAAGGTGACACAGATACTTTACATAATAGTATGCTCAAAGACCATAATTTCAATTTTTTGAAGACAACAATATTATTTTTGACTAATACTATTTCTATTCAGTGGTCTTTTCTCAAGGAACAGGGATTTTCATGGTCGTCAAATAATACAGAGACCAGACCGTGCAAAAGTGCAGATGTTCATGCTGCACGTCCAATTTGTGAAGAATTGCGTAAGAAGTGCAGAGTTAATCTACATGACGTCATTTTTTGTTTGTAGGCTTCCAAACCGTGACGTCATCGTCGCAGTATCTTCAGCTGAAGGAAGCAGCTCTGCTGAACAGGAACCTCAACAAACTCAACAACCTCAACAGCAGCAAACTCAGCCTCAGCCTGAACAAGAGACTGTACAACCACCTCAACAGGTAATTTTATTGGAGACATCAATAATTTTAAATCATAACATACCACCTTCAAAATTACTCGTATGTACAGTCATCTTGGTTGTCAACTTAGGAGTGTATGTTATGCAATCCCGTAGTACTTCAAATATAGCTGCGGTATAATGGCTTTCTTAGGTTCAGGAAACCTATATAGTAATCTTACACTTACAAGCTTTAAAGTTTAAAGGATTATATAAAATTCATTAATCCCTGCAATCATAACCAACATATGTTTTTGTTTATACACTGGCAGTGTCAGTGTCGGAAAAGTATGTACTGTAAAATGGATATCTTCCGTTATCCGTAGTGCCTATGTCTATTTCACTGTTAACTCTCGTGCGCTGTTGACCTGCCTCTTGGGTGTATGGTGCTTTCCATAGTCGAAGCATTTGCGTATCGCATTCACCGTACAATCTTTATGCCAAATGGGTTTAACCAAACCTTAACCGATATCAAAGCAATATTAGTGATGTTCTGGAATCACATTTACAACGGTCACCCGATTGTGAACACCTTCAGCGCGCATGCGTTGTCAATAGATTAGTATCAAACGGTTCTAAGTTTGATTCTGCTAGAACACATTGTTCTGCCAAAATATGCTTAAGTTAACCAGTGATAACGTCGTATTTAACATTTAGGTGAGATTATATGTTTCTTTCCTCATTGTTAGGCAAGTTGGAATAAACAAATAATCGTTATATCAAATCTATCTGCTCCATCACGAAATGATTATGTTCAATGTACTACGAACCACAAAAAGGAAGTTTCTCATTACCTTCAGTCGTCTTTTGGAGAACATACTGGGTTCATATTCAGTTGAGATATCTTCAACCATTTTGCGAGTCACTCTTTGATTTTATCGATTATGAAGCATTATGCAGAATGCTTACGTACATCATTACCCGAATCGATATCTGAGATCCAATCGGATTCTGGACTATGAGAATCTGGTACTTCTGTGAGTAACACAAACGGGTATATACAATAAAATACTAGTACACCCAAATTTTATAAAAACGGTTATATGACTTAAATATTTTTAATTGATACGAACTATTCAAAGTTGCCATGAAACTAAGAAAGCTGCAACTCCCCAACACAATTCAAAAACCACAGCCCCAAATCATAAGGCACCTACAGCAAAACAAGATCATTTCTATCTGCGCAAAACTTGTTTTCTTCCTTGCGCATGCGTAGGTTTCACAATGTTGGAAATGTGTTTCTACAGCATTACTATTGTTTTATAATTCCGATCGCAGTTAGTAGAAGTCGTCAGCCCACCAGAACTGTCTGCATAAAACTGAATACATGCTCTTTACCGGTCTATACATCATCTGGACGTACCTGATAACTTGAGGAGGTGCGGAGTGCGGGAAAAGGTGGGGGCCAGCTATTCGAGTCTCTTCGCTTATAGCACAGTTGAGCTATGTGAATATGTTGCTATGCCCGTATCGGCACAATGCGATTTGTTTTAGATTCGCTACATTCCATAATATAAAGCTATTAATGCTTTTTGCATTATTTCACATTGCTCAAATGTACAATTTATATAGATGCGCTACCTTTCATCATTATTTGGACTTGTACCATACTATACGCGTGTCGATACCATAAATAAGCATAACAAAATGTAAATAGACACTATAAGACTGTCGTGAACTATATATAGTTTCCTTCACTTGTAGACAGGGAGAAAATGTTGATTTTGCATCTGGAGACTTCGCATAGCCTTTGGACAAGTTTATACGTAGATTCCTGATACTTTAAAATTAAGCTATTTGGTGATGACTTTACAGGCTCATTCTATAAAATTGTCTTCGCCATTTTAAGGGTACCATTTTCAAGGAAACTTACTTCTGACTGACTGACTTTTACAGTAGCTATTTTTTAAGTAAGAACCGTTTTGTAATGGAGTCAGGGAAACTTTGTTTATGATCGTAAATTGTACGAAAAGCTGAAAAATAAACAGTTTTTCGTTTTTGAACATTTAAACACTTATCAATTCGTGGCACCAGCTTTTGGATACTATCGTCAAAGAATGTTGCTGCCTGACCGTTGGACTAGTTAGTAACTCTTTCTTTCAAAATGTCATCATTTATGATATGCTGCATGGTGTATGACCCAATAATTCACAACCCAATTTGTACAGTTGCGTCTGTGCTATTGCAGCAACGTGAGGCTGAGCGTTGCCATGAAGCAGAATGACGCTGCTGGCAGTTTTGAATAGCGTGCCTAAGCTCCAATAATGTATCACAGCACCTTCCAGCATTTCTAGCAGGCATTTAAAAATCGAACTACTAGGCGCACTTCACAAGCTTACTCATTGACATGGCGACAAACAAAGCAGTATAATTACACACAACCAACACCGACTGACGCGTGAAAAATAATGGTCGCGTAGTGAAAGACTGGCCAAAAGTGTTTGGGGTTGAACGAATACACGTGACAAGTATATGGAGATGTGAGAATCAAGTGTCAGTGGCGACTCTTTCTACATATCAAACAGTTTCAGGTCCAACAAGAGATCCGCTTCGTCCAGGAGCCTCGCCAGAGCGCTGTCGAGATGAACGGAAGACAAGCCTACGCAAGGGCCATGCCTGTGGATATCCCTGTTGCCATGATGCCCCAAGAGCAGCAGGAACCACAACAAGACCAACAGGAACAGCAGTCTGAGCAGACTGTTGCCATCGTACCTGATTCTGAAGAGGCCAGACCACACTGTTAGTATCACTTCATATTTAGCTTACTTTTTTCGATGTCAACCTTGTTTTACAGCTGCTGAACAAAGTACGATCTATTGCCCGCGGCCAGGGTTGTAAAGATAACATGTTTTGCTAAGAAAACACTGGCGTATATAAGAGGGGGTAGAAAGGGTAATTGCCCCTTCCCCTCCCAGATTAAGAATAAGAAGAAAGAAAAATAATTAGAAAATGATCTCCAGTTGAATCGGAAATAACTACTGTAGTTATTGGACAAAAATAGCATATATTATATTGCAGACATCGCTATAAGATTTGTCTACCTGTTGCATTATGTCTATTTCAGAGAGAAAAATTTCAAACCTCAGCTTTTCTTCGTCATATAAAACATAAGACCAAGCCTCGAGTTCTGCTCAAGTGTTTGGGGTGATGCCGTTCCAACTACATTATCCATGCTTGATGGTGTTCAGAGAGCTATCCGACTAATCCATGGCTCTTCTCTATCAAGCAGTCTCGGGGCCCTTAGGGCCGACGGCGATCTGGCTCTCTTCTACCGCTGCGTAAACGGGCTTTGCTCCTTGAGCTGTCCTCCGTGATGCCGCCACGCGATGAGCCTTCTAGACTGACCCGCCTTACTTCGACCTCCCATGCTAACTTGAACTTCGTGTATCCAGCACCGGCCGGTACGACCGCTCCTATGACCCTAGGGTGTCTAGATTGTGGAACAATCTGCTTGACCAGGCTCTTACTAGTTCTACTGACTGCAGGTAGTTCAAAAATCAGATTAACTAGGTGTCTTAATAGTGGCCGTGGTGCCCCGGTATTTAGGCTTCTGCCTACGTGACCACTTTGTTACAAAAAATGGCTTCATTCTTCTATGTCGCAAAATCTATTAGTGGGTCTTGCTCCTTTACATATGAGTGTGAACCAAATAATATTTTTGAACTCTTTATTCGAAATAAGTATCCTAAATGGACATTTCATTGAGGTATATATTTTTCAAGATTGTTTGCAGTTTATTTTATTGATACTGTAAGTACTCCTATCTATCTATTACTGCTAGGATTGTTTTAAGATTGTATATTTACTTCTTTTTGTTAGAGCATTTGTAGTAATTATCTCTCTACAACGTAATACAATAAGAAATCCTAATAAAATAGAAACACTGAAGCAAAGTACATATTTTAGATATGTTCAGTAAAACAACCCCCTCCCGGATCCGTTGCCTCTAGAAAGTGGACGTAATTCTATTTCCTTTCGACGCTTTTTCTGTCAGCTTTTGACGTTTATCAAATAAATTTGTGATTGCACCCATTTTCGGTAAAGCAATAACATTCCTCTCATTTCTTTGAATGTTTTATCACAAAATTGACTTCCCCTTTAGGGATGAGACTGCAGGATGACAGCGAGACTCCTGTATTTTTTCTCAATAGCCGTTCATTATTATAATTTGATAATTAAATATAATAATGAACGGCTTTATTGGCGGAGTTTAGCAAAGCTCTTCTTACACTCAACCATGCTAAAAAAAAGCTTAATACTAATTTGACATAGAAATATGATATTTTTAGGTAAACAGTACATTGCATTTACCAAGAGAGTTTCCGATCAACACTAACGAATGCAGCTCCTCCAAAAGTAGTAGTACAAGTAACTGTGAGACATTGCCAGAATTGGCATCTATGAGACCTCTGACGTTTTGTGTAAATCTTGATGAATAGTTGACGAATACATGTTTCATTTGATTAATATATTTTCAGACGTCCATCCCAGATCTGTCTAAGAAGCCTAAAATCTGAGCCGTCGACAGGGTCTGTTAAGCTGCTTTCTTCCACCAAGCGGCGCACCACTACTATAGCACACCACCAACATCAATACGTACATGTGGGGATAACTTTTATTCTTTCCATTTTTATGTTTTATTAATGTAAATAAATACTGGTATCTGTTGAAATTCAGAAACTTTCTGTTGTAAATCTTCATATACATACATATTAAAATAATTTAGGAATTTAGTTTGTAACTGACGTGTAAATAGCTGTTAAAAAGAAATCATGTCTTTTGTGTCTTTTTTCCGGCTTTTTGTGATTCAGATTGTATAAAATCCTGAAAATAAACAAAATTTATTTTTTGTACACTTTTCAATTGTATCTGAGAATCTCACCTCTACCATAACAAACGAATGGATTATTTCACCCCAGACATATCCACATTCCGAATTTTTGGCACTAGTAAGTTAATTCCGTAAAAACACTTGCATAATAAGGAAGATTCCTTACACGCACACAGGTGTATCTTACGACAACAGTTCTGGGTGGGTTTTCGCGTTTTTGGAGGGCAATTGGATTTTTCGGACGAAGGGCGAGGGTGACGTATCCGGTACATTGAAAAAACGACACATAGCTTCATGCTCGCTATGCAATGCTGATTTTGCGTGGTGCAACCTTAAAACGATGGCTTCGCCCAATCTCAGCATACGAGAGTCCTGTCGCATATGAGTTAGACCAAAGAAATTTACTTATGGAATGTTGTTTTAGTATAATGTTTGCCTCGGAATGTCAATTTGCAAAAATCGCTCACGGAAAAGCGTTGTCCGACGATATGCGAAATTCCATTGTCGATGCACACAAAAATGGAGCATCTGGGCATACAATTGCAAAAAATCTGAGCATTCCTCAAGGAATTATCTCACTGTATAAACAAAATGAAAATATTGAGACAAAAAATAGAAATGGCCGTCGTTCAAAGATTAAAGAAAGAGATTAGCGTGCTCTTCGTGCAATTATTGAAGAAGATCGCAGAGCTGCGTCAAGGGAAATAGCTGTGAGATGATCACATGCAATTGGTAAAAGAGTTTCAAAGGATACTTGATTAAGAACGATGAAAAAAATGGGATATTCATTCTACAAAGTAAGTTGTGATTGTTGTGAGTATCAAAGACTGCTCAAGCTTATTTAATTTTGATTTTAGGCGAAGGTCAAGCCACTTCTTTCTTTAAAACAAAAACGAAACCGACTTTTATGAGCAAGAGAGCATACAAACTGGGTACAACATCAATGGGATTCAGTTATCTGGAGTGACGAATCCAAGTTTGAAGGATATGTTGGCGATTCACATAGCAGGATTATCCGCATGCGAGGAAAAGAATATCACACCGACTGTCTCAAGAAAAAGGTTAAATTTCCAGCATCTGTAATGGTATGGGGATGCATGTCTTCACAAGGAGTTGGACGTCTTCTTTTCATAGATGGCACTGTTAATGCTGCTAAATATCAAATCATTTTACAAGAATAATTGCTGCCATCCATTCACATGATTCAACTACGAGAAGGTGGATTCATATTTCAGCAGGATGGTGCAGAATGGCCTTCAAGTAGCTCCGACTTATCTAAAACTAAGACCCTATGGCACCGAATGAAAAAAGCACTTCGAACTTATCCAGTCCGCACCATTTCCGAATTAAAGCCGAAACTTTAGTAAATTTGGGATAGTTTTGAAGATTGATTGATTTAAAAATTAAAGTAGGCTTTAATAGGTACATCAGATTAGTTTTTACTACTTTCAGAAGAAATTTGACCAAAAGAACTTACTTAATAAGTAAATGCTTTTCTTTACTACGCCCATGGTTTGGTTATCATTTTGTTGTTGAAAATAGCTATTGGAGCGTTTTTTTGTGGCAAAAAAGTTATTTCTTGAAGAAAGATAAGGAAATATCTCGTACTTATTTTAAATAGGAATTTAGTACATAGTTTGCGATTGATTTGACCAAACTTTGTTGCTAAAATAACTTGTAACGCTTTATTACATAAATTAACCATGGTATATTCCACAGCAGAAAGAGTTGAAATTATCGAAATATTTTTCGGAAATAATCAGTGCGCTAATAGAACAGCAGAAATATTTAATGAGCTACAGGAGAACAGTAACGTGCATCGAAAATATGTTCTAGAACTTGTAGCTAAATTTTGGGAAACTGGGTCAGTCACCAATAAAAAACGCAACATTGAAATTCCCATAAGGAACGAAGCAATAGAAGTGGGGGTTTTAGGGCAAGTTTATGTAGATCCTACGTTAAGTACCCGCAAATTGGAGACCGTGTGTGGTGGTCGACGTCGACGTACTGTCCAACGGATTCTAAAGGCCCATAGTTTTCATCCGATCCATATAAAATTCACCTGGTACAAGACCTTAATGAAGACGATTTTGATCGGCGATTACAATTTTGTGAAGATATAAGTGAACGAATTATAAACGATGAACATTTTCTATTCAACACTTGCGTTTCCGACGAATGTTCCTTTTTTTAAATGGCGTAGTAAATCGTCATAACTGCCGATATTGGTCCGATTCTAATCCCAGAATTTATCATGAGGTTCATGCACAGCAGCCGCAAAAATTAAATGTATGGGCTGGTATTTTTGGCAATCATTTAGTTGGTCCTTTTTTCTTACCTGGAAATTTGACCGGTGAAATGTATTTGGAATTACTGGAAGACGCCATAGATCCTGCATTAACAGCCATAATTGAAAATCAGAATGATCGGCGGTGCATTGCGAATAGGTTGGTGTTCCAACAGGATGGTGCCCCCCCACATTACGCATTACGTGTTCGACAATATTTAGATCAGACGCTTCCAGATCGAAGGATTGGTAGAAGAGAAGCCACTGAATGGCCCCCAAGATCACCAGATTTATCACCTTTGGATTTCTTTATATGGGGTCATTTAAAAAGCAAAATATATGCTACTCAGGCAAAATCATTAGAAGACCTGCGACAAAGAATTGTGAATGAGTGCCTTCAAATTACTCCTCAAATATTGCAAAATGTGCGGCAACGTTTTGAGCAAAATCTTTATTATTGCATGGAGAGTCATGGTGGCCATTTTCAACATTTACTTGCCTAACGGGTCAGTTCCTTCTTCATTTTTAAATTACTTTGCTGCCAAATGTATTGATCTCCACTAATGATGATGTATTAGTTTTATTTAAGCTTTAAATCAATAAATTTCAAAACTACTGAACATTAATTTTATATCATTATAAAGGGAATTGAAAGATCTTTAAAGTAAGGTATCACTCGACCCAACTTTCCATTTAAGATTTTCGGCGTGGTGTCAGCCCCGCTTAGGGGGCTGCACGTACTAACGTGATTTTTTGCCAAACTTGTGTCCCCCTCGAAAACAAAATCGACGGGTTTGACTGTTTTTCAAAAAAAAAAACTGAGCTGCCTGTAAATGCATCTGTTTCATTTTCGATGCGCCACCCTGTATTACCAGTGTCACTCAGGCTCTCAAGACAAATCTGGAGACACGTTCTATGTCAAAATCTGTTACATCGTTCAAGCTGTAGCCCGTGAAATAGAAATTTTAAACTTGAAATTTTCGATTAAAATCCGCCATTTTGATTGTATGAAATTTTGATGTAGCCAATGTCACTCACACTATTAAAATGAATCCTACATCTCATAAGCCCGTACAATTGATTTTTTGGATCCATAGGCAGAGACCCACTCGCGAAAAACATAACCCTCCTTCTGAGGCAGTCGCTTTTCTAATCTGTATTTATGTGGAAAAATAAAATGCAACAATTATCCATACATCAATACGTCTCTCTTCTTGTCTATCCTAGCTGCACGACTTCAAATATGCGATTAAATCCTGTCTTTCGTTCGTTTTCTTCAAACCAGGGAATATCATCTTCGTTCCTGGTATGTACTTCTTAGGATCAGTCAGGTATTCATCCAACGTACTCTCACTCCATGTGACGCCTTTGTTTTTGTTAGCATCCGTGTAGGAGAACCCTTAATACAATAAATGTACGTTTAAAAGTGCCTTTCAGGGAAAAGTTTGGGGGTAAAGGGCCCCGTACACAACATATGGAAAATGGGTCCCACTCGATTTATCTAAAATTTGGATATGATTTATGAACAAAAGTTGTCATATGATCAAAGCAATTACATGATAAGTTTCAGAGAAATAGGTGGTGAAGATTGACTAATTTGTAAAAATGGTGAACGTGCTAATTGACGTTCTCAGCACAAGAACTCTGAAAATTTGTATGATGAAAGAAAGTTTTTCATCAAGATACCTTGTAGGAAGGGGTTGGGAGATATCATGTTGATCCTAACAACGTCAATTTAACTGCTAGTTTATTTTTATACGTTGGTGCTAAAATGGAGCTTTATGGTATTGCAATTTATTGACTCTTCATTTCAGTTTTCTTGTTTTGGTCTGCTTCATGTCACATCAAATGGTTTGGGTATACTCTTTCGAAGGAAAATAAAGCCCAATCTCATAGAGAGGCACATATGCCATTTCTCGATATTTTCATAAGTTTGTCGATAGGATATCCATAGTCGTTATTGGGTTTCTGAAATGTGAGTGTATCCCTTGTGCATCCCCTATTTCTTAAATACTAACCATATGGCTGCTTTGCCGGAACCTGGAATTGTTTATGATACTTTTTATAATAATTGAAATTCTTGCGAACATCTCTAGTCTCGATGGCGGGAGACTGCCGTACCAATTGGGCTTCGGATTCGGTTTCAGAATTCATTAATATATTCTCCTGAATATAGCCAACCTAATGCTATATACGCGCGTCCAAAACGTTATAAAACGAGATACCGAGATATCTACGAGAATTTGTCACAGCTGTTTCTCTGTTAGCTATATATACTTTTAAAAGGTTAGTGTATCATAGGTGGCGCTGCCTATATGCTCGTATATTCTAAGAATTGGGTGTCGCATACGAAGGTAGGATGGAAAGCTCTCGGCCTGACAATACAGAATTAGTTTAAAAATGATTTCTTTTTTTCCATAATCACCTCAACTTCAACTTACTTGGTCTAACATTTCTCCAACATTAGAATTCCTGCATATCAGTGGAAGTCTGGAAAGCTGTCAAAATATTCATCTACAGCCATCTTAGCCCCTTCATCGGACCCAAAGCGTTCTTCAGAAAGAAATTTTGTCAAATCTGGGAACACGTGGAAGTGGCAGGACGCCACATTGAGAAAATAGGGAGGATAGTCGAGCAAATCATACCTCAAATATCTCAGTTTTCCCATTGGAAAAATAATATTCTTCTTCTTCAATTTAGTCATCTTCTCACGAATTTTGGTATCCAGTTCGTCA